AAAAAAAGAAAAAAGAAACAGAAATCGTTTTTAATTTTTTGACTCCCAAAGAATTTTCAGGGAGCCTGAGGTTTGCTGATCACACTTACAGAACTACTGATCTGGGCCAATGTCACTTTTATTTTTAAACCCAGAACCTTCCCTTTCGCATGTGAGAGAGCAGATATAATCCTTTTTCAGACAATTTGCTTTTCTATGGCTCTTTTCCTGTTTTTGAAACTTACGCCAAAGCCCTTTTGAGCAATTAATCTGAGAACCTTCTGCAGCCTGAGTGAGACAATCTTACATCCCCCAGCTAGGTCCCGCTCGCAAGCCCTACTATCGCGAGAGGCCTCGAATCCAGGTAGGGGTGGGGCTCAACTTCGTATATCCCAGGAGCCTTAGCGAATTTCCAATTTCCTAACTGCGCATGTCCCTGCGTAGGCGCGTTAGACATTCCTTCACTTCCGGACTCTCCATAAGGTATAAATATGGCTGCTTCGGGCTTGGCCATCTCTTAGACAAAGGGTATCTCACGTTTCTTCGTGTTGGTGAGTGTTTTTACTTGCCTGGTTCGTCTTTTGTAGGTATTAGCAACCAGCATTTCCTGAGGCTAGTATTTAGAACAGATCATTCAGCGCTGTCCATACCAATTAGGCTTGAGTGGAGCCTGAGCCGGATGTGGGCTGCTGAAGAATCGCGTCCTCCTCCTTCAGGATGCTGAGATTGTAAGCGAATTGCTTCCTGGAGGGCACATGTCCCTGAATGGATTTGCACACACGTGTATTAGTGAGCAGCATTCGCGATTAAAAAGTAACACTTTAAGGCCGTGCGAGGGGACGCATGCCTATGATCCCTGCACCCAGGAGGCTGAGGCAGGAGGCTTGCAAGTTTGAGGGCAGCTTGGGCTACATGGAGTTAGAGGCCAGTCTGAACTACATAGCGAGACCCTGTCTAAAATAAATAATAAATAAATAAATAAATAAAATAATAATTTGGAGCATTTTAGATGTTTGCTGAGAGGTACCCTGTGGTACTGAACTGAACCAAGGGCATTTGTGCCGACCTACATTACAAGACCTTGTTTTTATCTTGGTGGTTTTTTGTTTTTTTTAAAGACAGGTCCAGCTAAATTTCTCAGGCTAGTCTTGAACTGTGGTCCTTCTGCCTCAGCCTCCCAGAGTTCTGGCTAGATGACGGGCATATGCCATCAGCCCTGGCTTGAAAATTACATTTCTGGTGTAATGACCAGTTTGCATTTATTGGATTTAATGATCTACTGTAATGTATCCTGGAAAAGTCACTATCCACTAGATGAAATTGCTTCTCAGCTTAGTCATCTGTAAGTTGCGTGAATTGCTCTGACCAACGTGGACACCCCGGGAGGTCACTCTCCCCGGGCTCTGTCCAGGTGGCATAGGGGAGCATAGGGCTCTGCCCCGGGATGTACAGTCCCTTTCCACAACGTTGGAGAGGAAGCTGGGCCTCGTGTCCGCGCCTGCATATTCCTACAGCTTCTCAGAGTCCTTTGGGCAATGACTGAGGAGATAAACCATGCAGGAAACAGTCCTAGATTTCGCAGTCTGTACACAACTTAGTCTCATTAAGAAAAATTTGCTTTAATCTCTTACTTGGTAAATCATTTTCCTTGCAGAATACTTTGAAGATTCCAGATAACTTCTTTAGGCAGGTAAGTAAATCAGCACTGAATTGTTTTTGGATTAACAGTATTTGTCAGATTATCCTTGTTCTAATTTGTGAAGGTCTACCTCTGAGACATTTAATCACTGAGCACAGAGCACTGATTGTCTATCCATATATGAACTTGGCTCTGTTTTTGCAGGGGCATTGGTATAAGTGTATACCAATGCCTTGTAAAAATTGGTTTTTTAGTCATCAATAAAACAATGTTGCTGAGGATATAGCTTGTGGGACAGCGCCTGCCTAGAAAGTGCAAGGTCCTGAGTTTGATTCCCCCCGCCCCCCCAAAAAAAGAAAAAGTGTACTAAAATACTCACATTTTACATGCTCATGTGGTTGAGGGGAGAATTAGTTAAATGAAAATGTGCTGAGAATATAGCTCAGTGGGTAGAGCACTCCAGGTTCCATCTCCAGCATTAGAAAAAATGGAATAAAAACAAGAGAAAGCCCAGAAGAGGTGTGTTATGGTTGATACATTGTGTCAACTTGGGGAATCTAGAGGTTTGGCTAAGAGACTCAGCAGTTTGCCTCTTGGGGTGAAAAGGACATGCCCTTACCCTTCTGGGATGTTGTTTATTGTGTTAATTT